GGACGACCTCTGAAGGGAAGAAAGGCAGCAGGTGACTGTGTCGGTGTGGTGTCCCCCTGAGGAACATGAGCCATTCAACCAAGTTTCTTTATCCCAAAAGCCTAGTATGGCCTTCAGCACTCTGATTCCTGCATGCTTCCTGCAGGGAGTCGAGCCAGGGACACAGCCTGGTTTCCACCGGCCCCTTGAAGCCTTATGGCCCAGCATAGACTCTAGGTACCTGCCTGTTAGAAATGGTTTGACACCAAGGGGAGTTGTCGGGAGAGAAGAACTCAGCCTTTTGCCTGGAACTGTCTGATAGCCCTGGTGGAAAGGAAAGCACTCAGGGAAAGCTGGTGCCTCAGGCTTCAGCACGAGTTTAAGGATTTGCTAGCCCTGCTGAATGGGTTTTGCAGGAATGGATGCTGCTGAGGTGCTAGGGTTTGGCATGATCAGTAGGATCTGTGATAGTGTCTCATGGCTGGTTTTAGCAAGCCACCGGAGCTTGTTGCATCTGGGATGGGGACATGGCCACCACCCAGAAAGGCAATGGGCTTCTTAGTTCTCTTAGTGGAGCCCTGGGCCATCGGCTGCAATGCCTGGGGAAGAGGCCAGGCAGCAGGGAACCACGACTGAAGGAAGAGAAAGGCATGGCCTTACAGTAGCACAGTGGCTGATCTGCCCGAGCCAGAGAGGTGATAACAGGTGCTTCCTGGTGAAAGGGCAGGACCAGGGGCATATAGCTCTCTCCAGGAAGTGCTCCTGGCCTGCCTGCCTCGCTCACTGGCAAGCTGCCCAGCACTGTTCCTTGGGGACTGCCAGCATCTCTCACCATTTCTGCCCATTTCATCATTCCAATTTCAGCAGTTCAAATAAACAGTTGTCATTTTAACTTTGTCTTGGCCTCCACCTTCCCCACAGCACCCACCAGCAGCTCTGTGGTAAGATGCAGCCTGTGACCAAGTCCATCCTGCACATGACAAGGCCTCATGGTAAAGAGCCCGGTTCCTGCCTCTTACTGCAGTACAAGGGAAGCAAGGTGCAGCTCTGGGGGAGCTAATCCTGAGCTAGCTCCTTGGCATGGCAGGAAACAAGATGGAGCCTTGGGTTCCTCCTGGCTGGAAGAGCAGGAACCTTGCAGGCCAGGGTTGCTGAGCATCTGCAGGCTGAGAGGGGTCACAACTCTGATAACAGCTTTCCTAGTGCTACCTTTATGCCAGCGTTCAGGATGACAGTGCTCACCTAACACAGCACCTCTGTCAGGTGGTGTCTGTCTGCTTACCCACATTAGGCTGTGGAAGGGATGCCAGAAGGCAGTGCAGGCCAGATTTATGGTGTAGGAAATGTGGACTAAATGTTCATTTCCAGCAAGGGCTGTAGCATAAAAAGAGGTAGTGTCTGTGAGCTAGGGAAAGGCCGTCCCACTTCCTTCCAGGTTCCACGCCCTGTAAAGGCAGCTGCTCCCACCTCTTTTGCCTCCCTCTGCCAGGTGGGCAGTCAGGCTTCCCATATCTACTCTGTGGGCAACTGGGCTTCCCCACTCTGCCGCATGGGCAGGCAGAGCTCTTTTCCTGGCTGCATGCAGCGTGGGCATGCTGACCCCCACCCCTTACCAGGTGGGCAGCCAGGACCTCATCACTGCTGGTCATGCACAGTGCACAGGCAACATGGATGCCTCCCCAGGCTCCCTCCCACTGCACCACCAGTGTTCAAGGCCTTCAGTTAGGTAACAGAGAGGACTGCATGCCTGGCTCAGAGATTGCAGAGAGGGGCAGATAGCTAGGAAGACAAACACACTGAGAGACAGCAGCCTCCCTTTCTGCCCCACTGCTGTGAAAGCAGATGCCCCTTCCTCAGGGGGCAGTGGCTTGCAAGAACTGGGACCGAGACTCAGCCCCAAGCAGCAGATTTTCTCCTTAGCCACAGTTTATTCCTGCCAAAGCTGCTTCTCCAGCAAAGCAACTCCTGACTTCCCCTGATCTGCTCTGCCAGCAGCCCCACCCCATGCCCTTTGCCTAGTTCTTTATTGCTCTCCATATGTCAACACTGCTGAGGCAGCACCATAGTTTGCTCATGCCCTGGTCTCTTGGTCTCTGGCCTGCCTTCAAAGCCCCACACAAACAAACCAACACAATAGCCAGCGAATCCCAGCCTGGGTCCCTCCAGCAGGCACAAGGCCCAGGTTGGGGGAGACCTGTTGGGGCATGTAGACTCCTCCCTGTCAGGGGTGGGGAGGGAGGGAGTTGGTGTAGCGCTGGCTCCTGATCTGATCTCAGTACTTTGCTCAGGTGCATTTTAAAAGGGAGCTCCCGCACTCCGAGGGTCACACAGGCAGAAGCAGCATCTGCTCCTCTGTGGGGCAGGAAGGGTCAGGGGGATCTAAGCAGCTCCTGAGACATCTTCCCTTCCCCCTTTGACGTACACACAAGGCAGCCCATGCCCAACGAATGGCACAGGGTTATGAAGAGTGTCTCCTTGCGCAGCTGGAGGTGGGCTGGCTGGCCTGCCTGCATCTGATGCAAGGAAACCAACTGCTTAAGAAGACCTCTGCCCCCGTGGATGGGTGACAACCACAGGGCTCAAGGCAGCTTGTGGTGACACTGGTTCCAGGAAACTGCCTTCCCCCACATGAGCCCATGGACAGGATGAGGCCCAGGGCTGCTGAGTGGAAGACCAGAGACAGCAGCTTTATCAGCATAGCCTGTCCATGCGAGACAGCTGAGCCAGATGCTTCCCCTATGCACACAGAGGGCAACAGGTCCCAGAGACACCTGGACACCCTGCCTGTGGTGGGACTGGGCTGCAAGCAGAGTGAAGGCAGCACTCACAGCAATTCACGAGCCATTGCTGTGTCCCTCGTGGCGCAGTTCCAACTCTGAGGGACTGGCTCTCAGGGACTGGTTGTCCCCTGTGGCAGCTGCCTGGCTGGTTTTGGGGTGAGAAAGGAGGGAAGTGGGACCTGTCAAGAGGCAGTGGGGTGCTCCATCCAGGATGGCACAGAGCAGGCTCACAGCTTTCCCCTATGGGGGGCAGGGAAGGCCACGCTGTGCGTGCAGCAAGCACGCCGCTCTCTCTACGGCTGCCCCAGCTGGCCTGCTGGCTCCCTGCCTCCCCACAGCACTGACTTCTCCGGTGAGGAAGCGCAGAACCAGTCCCCTCCCCACAGCCTAAAACAGCCCCGGGACCCCAAGGGCTCCCGAGGGTGACAGCAATAAACCAAACACAGTGCACAGGCTCTGTCAGATGCTTAATTGTAATCACCGTCCCTTACATGCTGCTCCCATCCCAAAGCGCATCAAACCATTCTGCTGCTGCAAGGCCCGGGTGCCCACCCACCAAACTGCAGCCACCTCGGGGGTGCACAGACAGCGTAGTACGGCAGCAGCACTCCTGCTGTTAGAAGGGGAAACAACACAGGCGCTGGGCAGGTCATGGAACGTGGCCAAAGACACCCTGGTACCACAGAAAGAGCCACAGGGTCTTGAGTGACCAAGAGAGCACTGCTCTTTTCCCCGTGCCACTGTCCAATTTCCTGCTAGTTTCAAGACAGTTTATTGCAGGCATCTCACTTTGAATGCCCCATTACCTGTGATGCACCGTAACTCCCAGGGAGCCTGGTACAGGCCCACAGAGACCTCTTTCCTCAAGCAATTGTATTACATACAGGTTATTCTAAAGCAAAACAAACCCCACCAGGTACCCCACCTCACAATCTACCTCCCCCCTCCCCACCCACCTTAAATACCCTCTGACGTGTTACTATGGTACATCTGGCGACGGGAAAGGTGAGCATAACACACACACACACTGCATCCGGCCTGGATAAGGCACAGAGGATGCCTCCTGGAGGATCTGCTTAACGGGATGCTCGGCAGCACCTGGGGAACTCCTCTGAGGAGAGTCAGGACCTGAAAGAGCTTTGGAGGTGGGAGAGAAATGTACCCTCTTACCAAACGGTGGTGGGGGGATCAGGATCCACCTGCTGTCAGGGCATACCAGGCTTGCATGGAGCTAGCAGAAAATGCACCTACCTGAGCCAAGATAGAGTCCTGCAAATCCCCAAACAACCAACATGCAATTGGGAAAGTGTTAGAGAAAACCAGAGTGAGGCTGGCCCTGGGGAGGCTGGTGGGAGGGAGATATCCTCTAATATGTTCCCTGCAAGCCAGCTGACACTCTTGCAGGGCTATAAAAGCCAGGGAGATAGCATCTGAGGGAAGGGTCTGGTTGTATTGAGGGTCTGTTTGGGTGTCTTACAGTAATTCAGGAAACTCCAGGGCAGCCTAGCTGAATAGCGGTTACTTCTAGCTCTACCATTCTGTGTGTGAATAGTGTCTTGCCTCTCTGAGCCCTTTAGACTTACAAGCCCACCACATGTCTGCACAACCCACTTCCCTACCCTCACTGTTCTCTGAGCATGACGTAACAGACATCCCTGCCGCGAGTATACAAGCGTTGCCCTAATGCCACTAAGAAACTCCTGCTGCTAAGCTCCCTCTCTATAGCTGCCCTTTGCCTCTAAACCCCCCACAACTCCACAAGCATCTTGGATCTTCCTTAATTTGAAGATGACATGTTTCTGGGGAAGTGTGCGGTGGGGAGGAAGAGTATTAATTTCAGAGAGTCACTCTGTGAGGAGAAATCCAGAAGCATAGGAACACTGTGCATCAGTCCCTTTGTGTCCCCACCGGCACTGGTAGACCTCCGGTAGCACTGCAACCATGAGTCCCAGGAGCTTTTCAGAGTCTTCCATTCTCACCGGAGTCCTCTGAACTCTCAAGGCAACACAAGGAGGAAGCGAGGCTGCCCCAGAAGGCCCCAGCAGGAAAGGGGCTTTCAGTGTGTTCGCATAAGAAACAGTAATGGCTGCAAAGATAAGGCAGGTGAGCCAAGCTGCTGCTGGTGTGGGACTATGAAGAGAGGGAGAGCCGCACCAAGGAGGCCTCCTGGGGCAGAGTCAATGAGCACAGCTACATGGGCGGCTTCCTTAGGAGCATTAGGGCTCATCAGTCCCATCTCTGCCTCTTCTGGGACGCTTGTCCTCACAGGCTGAGGAAATCCTCCTTCCGGTAGCCCTTCTGCAAGGCACAGAGAGAATTGTCATAAAGAGTGGTGGGGCAAGGGGCAAGGTGCATGGGCTGGCCTACCCTTCCCAAAGTGACTGAGACCCACCCTCTGGAAACCTTCCCCCCTTACCGGTATCTCATGGTTCTGCTGTGGTAGACTTGGTCTTAAAAAACGAAACTGGGTTCATGGGGTTCATCTAGCACCAGGTGGGTCACACCAAAATAAGGGTGGACTCCATGAGGGGTATCTGGCCACAGCTGACAGGCCATTAGACAGTTCCTTGATTTATGAGCTAAGTTACACAAAGCACAGGAGAGGAAATGGAGCAGAGCGGGAGGAGGCAGCTGCTAGTGAGTGTGTGGCCTGGGCATGTGAAACAGCAGGAGATGGTGGGAGATGAATGAGCACTCTCAGGGGATGTCACTCTCATGAACAAGTTGCTGCTGAATCTCCCAGTTCACACTAGGACCTGGGGTTGGTGACCTAGTGCCCCCTTACAATGCTCTGGGGTCATCTGCTTCTCAGGGTGTGACTGGGGAAGAAGTTGCCCCATCCCATGGGGAACTCTTGGGAGAGCTGTGGGGAGGACAGTCTACTGCAGACCCCCCAGCCACTTGCTTATGCACCTCAGTGCTTTAGAGGAAGCAGTGCTTAGTCCCCAGTCCTTCCTAACCAGATGAGGGTTAAACAGCTTGTGTTGGTGCTGGGTATGTCATCACTCCACCTCCCTGCAGCTGGGCCCTCCCTGCCCAGAGCTTCCCCCATGAGGGAGGGAACCTAATGCAACAGCAACCACTGAGCCCAGCCTCCTCTGGGGGTGAGGGGGACAGGCACATAATGATGCACTGGGGATGTCTTTTCATGCCCCCTGTCCCAGGATGGGACTGCTTTTAAGGGGCATGGGCTGAGCCTCACCTGTGACCTCCTGGCTCATGCCACAGAAATCCTCATTGGGAGAGAGCTGCAGGGCCCTGGAGATTAGAGGAAGGTGCTGGGCAGGGAGCTTGCCTCCCCCAGCCAGGGGAAGGAAACAAAACGCTGACACTGCGCTGTCACATCTGACACATTCTTGTGAAATGTTTAGGTTTTGGCAAAGCTGCGTTTCCCCATCGAAAGCTGCTCCAAAAATTTCCAGACAACTCTTAGTTACCGTGCGGCTGTTAACACGTCAGGGCAACACAACTCTCATCCTGTGCTAGTCAGCCTCTGAGCTGAGGCGTGGTGGTGTCTTGCCAGGGTTTCAGGGGCAAGACTATAGGCAGAGTCATACTGAAGACTGTCCCCACGTGTCTGGCTCTAAAGGGGTACCTGGCTGTTTCAGCTGGGGAGGCAGAGGCAGCTGGAGGTGGTGCTCGTTCCATTGCTCTCTGGTATTCTGTGGGCTACAGAAACTGGTGGGCCATAGCTAGTTTAACCCGATGGGCAGACCATTGTCTTTGATTTTTTGAGTCAACCCATCCTCTTGCAAGGAGAGTCCTACCATGTGAAGCCCCCCACTCCCCAGGAGAGAGAACTCAGCCTGCCCCCTAAGCCAAACTACCCAGCTCTAGGGCTAAGCACAGCTCGCATTGCCCACCCCAGCTCACAGAGAAGAGGGAGGAGTGTACCATTTTGTAGTCCCGGTGAAGCCTGGTGTACTGCCACATGTTGGCCAGCAGGCTGGAGGCAGCTCGGGAGGATTTCTCACTGTCTGAGCTATGGCAAATAGAGACAGGACACAGCAACCTTCAGACACCTGGTGAGGTGAAGTTTGCTCAGAGCAACATGGTGACTAACTGGGGTGAGCTCAGGAGGAAATAAGTCCCTCTGAACCAGGGGTGAGGATCTGGCACTGGAGGGCAAAACAGGAGGGACAGGCCTTCGAGCCCACTGAGACTGATGATCACTGCTCCAGGCAGGGATCAGGGATGAGCAGCCTTCACCAGGAGCCCTGCACTGGGTGGGGTTGCAGGAGTTACTGGCACAGGCTTGGGGGAAAGGAAGCTGGGTGGCTTTTAGTCACCTGCAGGAGGGCAGCAGCAGGACTGGACAGGCCTGGGATGACTGCCCCTGGCTGGGATGCCCGCACACCACAACAGGGCAACTTTTGGAGCATGTCCAAGGGAACTATGGCCAGTCTCAAGCTGAGGTGACATAGTCATGTGATAAGGAGGGTGGCAGGCTGGCTGGACACTAACAGGTGCTGGCCTTCTCACATCTCACCAGGCCCTGGCAGCCAGGTGAAGTGGTGCCAGGAGAAGTCTCTCCTTGACCCATGCTGAGCTTCTGAGCCTGAGGAGCTGGGGCAGGGGGTGAGGCCTGATGCTGGCAGGGGAGGGGCATAGGGCATTGGAAGCCCTGCCAGTTCCCACCTGTCTCTCTTCTTCTTGAGGTAGAAGAGCTTCCTGAGGCCGTCAAAGTAGACAATGTCACGGGCAGCAATGGGGCTCTCCACCATCAGGTTGTTCAGCACTGCGATGATGTTCACAACAACATCGCTCGGGGGCTCCTTGTCACCAGCGCTCCCAGGGAGCTTCTCGATGAGGTGGCTTACCACCTTGGTTGCTGCCGAGGCAAAGGGGACACATCAGAAGCTATGGCTACAGCAAAGCCCCTGCAGTGGCGTGCCCCATGGCCTCAGGGGCAGGTGGCAACTCAGAGAGGAGACCACTGGCCCTGAAAGCATGTTCCAGGCTGTGGAAGGGTATGCCTGGAGAGCACAGGAAGGGGGCTTGGGCTGGGCTCACTGAATGGTCTGAGCCTATTCAGTTATGAGATTCCCAGGTGGCACTAAGTTGAGAGAAGGGGGTAATACAGAGCAAGAACAGAGAACTCTTCCTCCATCCAGCTCTCCACCCATGGGGTCTCTACAGGGCCTGTCACTGACCAGGTTTGGGGTGTGCTAAGGAGCTGGGGTAGAGAATAAAGCCAAGAAAAGTAATGGGGCAGTGTGTCCTGGGGATGACAGCAGGGATAGGGTGGAAGTTTCCAAGTCCCTGGTTAATCACTGGTTCCCCCCATCACTGTGCATCTGGATCCATGATAAATGCTCCAGTTGTCATGAGCCACAGAAAGAAGAGCAAGTGCCACCATGGTGGGACTGGGCCTCTCTACCAAGAAGGTGTCAGGATGAGCCCAGGAGGGAGACATGAGTGATGGGGCTGGTGTGACTGTGTTAGGAAGGAGGAGCTCAAGGCATCTGGCTCATCTCAGGGGCAGTCAATGTGGGGCACTGTCTGTGCAGCCCCAACGCCCACATTCCCAGGCAGAAGAGCCTTGAAGATCTCCCTGGAGGCCTGGCTTTGGCCATCAGCCTCTGACAGTGGGGCTGGAGCCATGTATGCCCCACGGGTGCCCGGGACTCACACAGCTCATCCTTGTTGCGGGCGTGACGCGACAGGTTTCGGATCAGTCCTGTCAGGGAGCGCAGCTGGTGGTGGTCAGCCGTGCGGACCCGGTCCAGCACAGGGTTCAGGATCCGCTCCTGCTCTAGTGCCAGCCGGCTCAACACTCCTGCCCACTGGGAAAGGGGGATGGGGGAAGAGAAATTTAGACATGTAGCACCCCCTAAACTGCTCAATACCAGCCCCATCCCAAGCACATGTATCCCCCACCCCTCCAAGCCCCAGCCCCAATCTCAACCTACCCAACCACCTGCCCTCACTCCCATCTTCATCCACAGCCCACAAACCCCACACTCATAGCCTCATCCACTACCCATGAATCATTCCCAGCCAGCCAGCCCCAGCACACCCATCTTCCTGCCCTCCGATTCTAGCTTATGCATTTCCCCATCCCTCCCAGGCTTACCCATCCTTCCGCCCTCCATACCATTTCTATTAACATTTCTCTGGTCCCTGTGCCCATGCCACTGGGCAAAGTCCAGTCTGTTGTGCTGTCACCTCCTCCCCTCCCTGCCCCTCAACACCCCCATTTTGCCCTCCCCTGAAAGTGGCTGTCATAGGGACCACTACACAGCTGGAAGGAAGGCCTAAGGCACACTTGTCAGGCCTGGACAGGGGGTACCACTCTCTAGAGACTGGGTACAATGCCTCCTTATCCCTCTGGGCCCTTAGAGCAGCAATTTCTCCTGTAATCTGTCTTCCTCTTCCCTTTTGCCACTCCCTTGTCCCCAGGAGTTTTTCCAGGTAGTGGGAGGCAGGTCCCAACCCAGGCCTGAACAGGACTTGCTGAATTGGCAAAGGGGAGTCCCCACCCTGGCAAGCTGTGAGCCAAACAGCAGCCTCAAGGGAGGGTGGCGTCACAATGCTGTGGCAGGCGAAGGGGAGGGGGAAGGCTGCAGCTCTTTGGCACAGGGCTGTGGCCTTGAGAAACAATCAGCTCACATGGAGCTCCGTTCAACTGCACGTGAGAAGCCTCCCCGCTCTGCTCGCCAAGGGGCCTCTACCACAAATGCAACCTCCAGGAGTGACTTAAGTACTGGGCTCTGTGCAGTGAAAGATTCTGGGAGGTCACTGTGCTAGTGGGGGTGGGGGTGGCTGTTCCCAGACTGTGGCTAGCAGGACAGGACTCTTCCCCTTCCCTGCCTGGCTGGGTTGGGTGGGGCTGTGCCCTGCTCCTGGCCTTACCCTCCGGTCCCCGGCTGTGATGTTTTGCAGTGCCCCTGAGGCAGCCTCCGTCGTGTGCTTGTTCAGCTCGCACCTCTGGAGCAGGCGGTTGTAGACGCCCACGATCTGGGGGTTCCAGAGCCACTCCATCCCTTTGGGGTCCTTGGACACCTCCGTAAAGGTTACAATATCTGTGTTCAGGTAATGCTGCAAGACCAAGGAGAGAAGAGAGACCATCAAATAAACTTGACCATACACAGGCCCTGCAGACATATTCCCAGCCAGATGTTCCTATCACCTCCATCCATAAGCCCTACATCCCCATATCATCCCCTCTTCTGCACACCTCTCCCTCGTAGCTTCCTGCCCACTCTTTTCTTCAGTTCTTTGTGATCCAACACCATTTCTGCTCCCCTTCATTTACACTGATGTGAATGCTCACAGGGAGCTAATGTCAAACCACGTAAGTGAGCACACATGCTGTGAATTGGGCCTCGGCTCCATCACCTTGGCAGCTGAGTGCTAATTCAGGGTCAAATCCCTGTGTCGGGGGTTATGGAGTTCTCACTATGCAGGGGCATGTTGTCCTCCCACCCTGGGGCCTTTTATGAGGTGGAAAGGGATTGTCTTAAAATGTCCATGAATGAGTATTCATATGGGGGACACAAGCACACTGAGATAGGCACCACGTGACCCATCTGACCTGGCCAATTTTAGCCACACAGCTGCCTGTGCTTAGCCTTCTTGGGGTTCAAACAAGTCATGCTCTGGCATAGGGATCTACTTGCAGACATTATGCTTGCAAATGCAAGGCCCGACCTGCTGCATACTAGAGTCCTGGAGAGACTCACACTGACTATGATGTGCTTTGAGGTCAGGCCTCGGTTGTATCAGGACCCAGCTTGTCACTCTTTGTCACTACCTGGCTGGACACTCTATGTCCAGCCCTATCTCACTCTGTCTCGCCACTGCTAGTCCACTCAATGAGTGACCATGCCACAAAATGGCAGCCATGGACTCTGCTGGCCTGCCTCCTCCCACTCCACCCTTGTGCTCCTCCTGCACTGACCTCTCGTGCCTTCTTGCTCTGGGGGTTGAAGCATCCCACCAGCTCGCCTGTCCCAGTGGTGCCGTCATTTCTCCGGTGGCCCTCCAGGCGCTGCAGCGCGGAAGGAGGCATCTCATCATAGAGGCGGTAGGAGAGGTTCCGTAGCATGCAGACAGCATTCTCCACGCTCTGGGTGATGGGGAAGGGAAGAGGGTGTCAGCCCATGCTGTTTGTGCCAGTCAGAGCACCTTTCAGAAGCCCACTGACTGGATGGGTCACCACTGTTCTGTGGTGGGGCTGGCTTGACCCACCACTGGCCTGGCAGCATTGTGTCACGGGTACACCTGATGATATCACTCCAATGCTGCAGGGCTGGCTAAGCTACTGGGGATCAGCCTGGAGAAGGATCTTCCATGTAAGCAGGGGTGATGAGGCCTTTTGGGCAGAGTCTATTAAGGTTCAGGTGTGTATGTAAGGAATGGAGTAAGGCAGCTGGTACTGCAGTAAATCAGAGCCAGGAGGAACCATTGGCAACACTGAGCTTCCCTCCTGCTCCTGACCCCTCAGCCCATGCAGAGCCACATCCCAGCCTCAACATTCATATGTGGCACCCACAATCCAGGGAGTAGGGGGCAGTGGAAATTGCTGCTTAGCATGGACCAATGCACACAGTCTCCCCATAGGGCACAGGGCTCACCTTGTCCTCCGACTTCCCCACCTCCAGGGAGCTATTGATGTAGTGAATCATGCAGTCCACCAGCCTGTGGCACTCGCGCATCTTCTGCCGGGTCTGCTGGCTGGCAGAGCTCATGTTTCTGCATAGGGAGCACAAGGCAGATTGTGGTGAGGAAGAGTCCTGCCCCCACCAGCCTGTTCCTTCCAGGCCCTGCCAGGAGCCACCTCCTCTGCTGCCTCATACCCACCGTCCATGTTGGGGGATATCCCATCTCTAAATGTAATGGTCAACACTGAGTGCTGCAGCAAGAGACACAAAACCCCTGTGATGTGACCTCTCAGGGGAATGCTGCCCTGGGGCACTGACCCTGACTTCTGGCCAGGTTAACAGGAGGGCTGACAGGGATACAACAACCTAACTGGGGTGTGGTAGGCCTTGTTCATGGCACTGGCACCAGCAGCAGAACCTAAATCTTGGGGGAGACATGGTCTTCATTGCTGTTAAGTTGTCCCAGCAGCCCCTTTCCTGCACCCATTGTACAGTGGCCAGGGCCCAGAGGCATGCCCATTCCCACGCAGAAGAGCCGTGAAGGTCTCCCTGGAGGCCTGGCTTTGGCCATCAGCCTCTGTGACAGCTGAACTGGAGCCATGGGTGCTCCATGGGCATCAGGCAGCCAGTACCTGAGGAATCCGGTGGAGTTGTAGAAGATCTCAGCCTCTGAGGCATTCTGCTGGATGACGGTGGGGGACCCCAAGCCCGAGAGTGGGACCAGGACCAGGTTGGTGAGCTGCTCCAGGGTGTCCCGGGCCAGGCGGTCCTTGAGGTTGTCACTGGAGGAGAGGTTCCACAGGATCCCTGCAAGGGCCAGGGCAGAAGCAACCAGCACTAAGCCCCCTGGAGCATTCAGCACAGAGCAAAAACCCTCCCTTCCCACTCCTGGCCTTCAGTGGGCCTCCAGCAACAGTGACCAGTGGTCCCTGAGGCTCACTGAGCCTACCAGACATGGAAACAGGGCCTGGTGAAGAGTCCACCCACTCGGCAGACACCACACCAGGCAAACCCCAGCTCTGGCTCTGCTCTCTGTTAAACAGCAGCCTCCCAAGGTGTGGCCCAGTTACCTGGGGCTGCAGAGGCCTCAGTCAAAAACCACACACAGTTGGGTTGGCGGTTGGGGGGTGGGGGACACACAGCTGCTGCCCTGCAGCTCTGAGGAGCCCAGGGAGCCACCCTGCTCTGTGGGCACTACAGATACATACAGCAGCAGGGGGAAATGGGAGAAGGTGGATGTTGTTTGAATCTGAGCTGAGCAGGAGCCTGTTCTAGCAGCTCCCATGCCCCACAGGTCCACAGGATTGCAAAGATATTTTGCTGCAAAGAATAAGCTGTCTGGGGGGTCCCCTTGAAATCTGGAAGACCTCTTTGGAGAATGGGGTCCCTGTGGGCTCAGCCACCCACCGCCTTCTTCATTCCCGATGCTCCTCAAGGGGCCCTGCTCCAGAAACTGGGCTCTCCCTGCTCCCTCCTGCTTCCCACAGCCCTCAGGAGAAAGCAGAGCATCCCAAGACATCCCATGGTAGGAGTGCCTAGTGGATAAGGGACTGGACTGGAATTTAGGAGAGCTGGACTTGGCTCTGTTACAGACTACCTGCATGGCCTTCACCAAGTCTCTTCATTGCCTTGGGCCTCAGGCCCACCCCTGTAAATTGGGAGCAGTATCTCCCAGAACAATCAGGAGACCCTCATAGTTGTGAGGTGCTTGGGTTCTCCAAGATCAATAGACTCCCTGAAGCTCTGATCTTCCTTTGGGGTGGGGGAAGGTGGGGAGGGGGTAAAAGCCAGCATCCATGTCCCCAAGAAGCAGTGGGATAGGGGGCAGCTCTGATCTTCCCCTGCCAGGACAGTGGGGTGGGGAGCCAGGGGCAATGGCACCAGGCCAGGGGACGATTTGTCTACCACGCAAGGCAAAGCCAGCCCCAGACCAAGCTCTTTGGGGATTATTCTCTCCATTTACAGACTGAATGTAGCTAAAGTCACTCTCATGGACTCCTTTATGCATGTAATAGGCATTGAGCTCCTCACATCATAGCTCCTGGGCCCGACTTTCCCATTAGCCTTGGTATTAGATGAGACAATTGGAGCCTGGCGGGCAGGATTAGACAGGCCCTTTAATACAAGCAAATGTAATCTCTGCTGTTTGCCTCTCCCTGCCCAGCACTGCCTGTGACACACACAGCCAGGTGGAAGTTGGCCCCAGGCCAGGGCTCTCTCCCCCCTCACCACTCATCTTGCTCCAGACAGCAGCAGCTAGCCTGTGTGTGGGAATCCTGCATCCCTCCCCAGCCTCTGTATCTGCCTGGGCCTGGCTCCTTCCAGCCTGGTTTCCCCCCTCCACAGGAACTCTGAACCCAGTTAAAGCAACAATGCCTCTTCTCTAGCCAAGGCTTCAGAACAGGAGCTGGGTCTCCAGCTGCCTGCCCTGTACCTAGGGCAATGTCTAAGCCTCCCACTCCGTCAACTATTTGAAGCTTCCTTTGCCCCTAGTCCTGCAGAATAAGACCCAGAGCTGCCTGACTGCCTACTAAGGGAGGCTGCTTGTTCTTCAAGCCCATACATGCCAAGAAGGCTTTGTGTGAAGGCCCCCTGAGCATTTGAGGGAAGGCCACTGTGGGCTTGAATAGGGAAGCATGGAGAGCTATGACTGAAGGGGCTCTTGGTACTGAAACTGTGGAAGGCAGAGGGGAGCAGTGTGCCCTCATTGCATCGCTGGCTGCCTGCCTCCAGGCTCAGCCACCAGCCTCATCATAATGTGAGGTAGAGTACAGCCACAGCCTGACTATGTGCTTTTTGCCTGAATTTTATGGCTCTGTCACTTTAATATTTACTCCATCTTTACTGTATGTCCCCTGATAACAACCCTGAAATGTATAGCAGTGCTGTTATCACCATTTTACAGATAAGGGAAAGTGAGGCCCAGAGATTAAATGATTCATCCAGTCTGTGACAGAGTAGAACAGGGATCTGAACCTACATCTCTCAGGTCCTAGGCTTGGCAGTTTAATCACTAGGCCAGCTTTCCACACTACCAAATACTGCTAGCATTCCTATTTCACGCCCAATCACATCCAACTAGGAAAGCTACTTGCCAGGGCTACATCATCATGGGCTAGGAGGCCACCAGCTGACTGACTAGGTTTAATGGCATCTTATCTGTCACCCTAAGCCAGAAATGGGCAAAGTGGTCTACAAACATTTCCAACAAATGACATGTCTATCAACATTTGACATTGTGGACAAAAACATTGATGCAACATTTTGGAAAAGGACAACCTGCTCAACTCAACCCTCCTCCTCTCCCAGTATGTATCTTGTCTAGTGCCACTTGATGGGGAGGTCGTGTAATTGTAGTATGAATCCAAAGGGGCGACAGACAATGATAAAGCCACATCAGCCATTCCTGATCCCAAATGAATCCACAGCTGCCTGGAAACAGCCTCTGGAGTGAAGGTGCTGGCTGGACTTTCAGGACAACCTCTTATTTTTAGATGTTCCTGACTTTCTGATAACTTCTCTCCATTGAAATTGTCTAGGCTTGGCTCTGCCCAGAGAGACATTTATTTTTCAGCAGTGGCATGTATTTTTTTTAGCTGTTTCCAAGGAACTGAGCCTCATGTCCTCACTCTAAGCAAAGCTTTATGATGGTTTTGATTTTGCATGCAGCTCAGAAACCACTGGACTTTGCAGAGCGGAATTCTCCAGGCTGGTTGCAGTTCATGGAGGCCTGGGCTCCATGTGCTTTATAAAATAAGCATGTCCCTGGAAGGTGGCAAAAGCCAGTAGGCTGGTTTTGAACAAGGTCCCGACACAGATAAGGAGCCAGAAGACGGACTCTGGGAGAAGGAGGATGGTGATTTTCTATCAGAGGAACAACGGGGGGAAGTTGCTACACTCTACCAATGGGGGCCAACCTTTTTTGGCAGGCATGCCACAAGTTAAGCCTTCTCTGTCCAAAAGCCACTCCAGTCCCCTTCTCCTGCTTGATCTGCTGCTCTTCTTCCTGCTCCCTGCCCTATGTTCCCTGTCTGATCTGCTGCTCTGCTTTCTCTTGCCTATCCTATCTGTTGCTGCAGAGCCTGTCCTCTCCCTGACCTCCTGTGTGCCACATACAAAGGCTGCCTGTGCCACTTGTGGCATGCATGCCATGGGTTGGGCAGCCCTGCTGTAGACAATGTGGCATGAGACTGAGATTCAGGAGACCTGGATTCTGTTCCTTGCCCTGCCACTGGCCTACTGCATGACCATGTGACTCTTAGCAACACATGTTTGGGTTCCGTTATCTGTATAGACCATATGCTCCATGGGACAGCTTATGCTGTCTCATTCTGGGTGCAACAGGTAGTACCACAGAGCCCTATACTGTGTTGTGGCCTCTAGGTGCCCCTGGAATGCAAGGACACTAGCAATAGTGCTCATATGCCACCTGGCGTCCTCTCCTGTGTGTGTGCACCCCCACCTGTGACATTCTTGCGCAGCTCATCGTCGGACTCGTGCAGCGTCCGCATCAGCTCGTAGATGCCATTCTCCTCCACCAGTGCCAGCTTATTCTCAGCGTTGTCATAAATGAGGTTGCGTGTGGCGCCGGTGGCATGGCGCTGCACCTCCTGGTTGGGGCTGTTGAAGAGCTTCACCAGCTTGGGCACAGCTTGGAGGCTGCGAGCCTGAAAGGAGAGGGAGCAACAGCTGTGGGACTGAGGCATGGAGGGAACTCTTGAGAACAGAGTCTGCTCTGGCCTCCACTGGATCCCTGCCCTGCTGCCATCTGTGCCCACACCTGCCCCCAACCAGGAAAGTTTGAGCAGGCCCTTCCAACTCCCTTTGCATCACTATTTGGCAAAAAGAGGTTCCTGCAGACTAACAAGGGCCACCTCCTCTCAGTATCTTCCACCAGTGTGTATACCCATGAACAGGACTGCGAGACTTGAGCCCTGATCAAGGGGGTATTTTTCCTGCATGCCTTGGGGGACAGCCCCATCCTCACTGCCCCTCACCTGCTTCTTGGCATTGCTGTCACTGTAGCACTTGTGTTGGATGTAGGCAGCTCCCAGCACCTGCAGGTTCGGGTCGCTGGCTATCAGGTATTTCACCGCTGACGGCAAGTCAATGTCATCAAATCTGAAAGACAAAGGTGGGTCAGGAAGCATTACCACATCCTCCTAGGGGGCCCTCCTTCCTAATCTGCTTTAATGTAGGGCTCTGCCATGTCCTACCTGCCACATCAAGGAGCCCCTTTTATAGGCGCTGACTCCGTGGGTGTTCTGGGGCTTAAGCACCCACTGAAAAATTTTAGTCGCTGCTCAGTACCCACAAGCTATGGCCATTTTGGTTTTGATGTTAAAAAAAGTGTGCTTGACCTGAAGAACCAGCGTGTTACTTCAACCCAGCTCTGCAGTGTCTGTAAAGATTGGGCACTTCAATGGGGCTTTTTGGCACTTTTAGCTAAAGCTGATTCCATCAGCTATTAGATAAAAGTGCCAAAAAAGCCCCACTAAAGCACCTGATCTCCACAGATGCTGCAGAGCTGGGTTGAAGTAATGCACTGCCTCTTCTGGGCATGTGTGGGGTTCAGTGCGGGCATGTGCCAAGTTTGAAGTAAAGTGCTAGGTTTTGGGGATTTTTACGTCTGCAAGCACCTGCTGGCAAAAACCCAAATTGGCCTCTATGGTCCCCCAGTTTGCCCCAGCATACTTCTTCACTGGGCCCAGCACCATGTGGTCATCAACCCCTGGCCAAAAATGAATAACTAAGATGGGATTTTTTCAGAGCCTGACATGCTGCTCCAACACCAGCCTGTAGGGGTTGCCACTGAGCGGCAAGCTGCTTTCCTTACATCCCCTGTGCAGGAATTTCAGTGGGTTCCTGTCCCCAGCCCAGCTTCTCAGGACACACCAGCCATGGGTCTGTCTCCAGCACTCACCCGCCAGAGTAGGACTGCTGGGACATCAGTGTGTGGTGCCCATTGTACATCCCACTGGACCGCAGGTCCTGCAGTTGGTGGTTGGACTCTGCCAGGTTGCGCACAGATGGGGCACGGGAGCTGCGCTCTACTGTGCCCACATAAGAGCTCCCGAGTCCCGTCTGGAGGCCACTGAAGGAGCCAGTGCTCAGGCGTGAGCGGTTGTTGCTCTGGAAGCGCTGGAGAGTGCGCATGGCAGGCGCACGGATGGTCCGGTTTTGAGGTGCCTCTACGCCATCCATCCAGTCAATTGGGCCCTTCATCCCAGCATTGGAGCCGGCACTCATCTGCCTCTCGAAGGTGTAGGACCTGGTGAAGCCACCACCGGCCCTGCCTTTGTAGAGGGAACCATGGGCCATTGGATCCAACTGCTCAGAGATGATGCTGTAGCGATCATCTGCACCCGTGGGGCTGCTCGGCCCATTTGTCAGGCGCAAGGAATGCAGCGACATGGTGTCGAAGTTCGGCTGGCCCCTGTAGCTCCGCTCGTGGAAAGAGGTTGGCCGTGAGGTGTGGGTGGCTGGCATGGGGGCATAGTTTGTGCCATAGGTAGAGACCTTTGGCACACCACCATTGCTGATGGCAGCCATTTTCCTGTGGGATGAGAGGTCCACAGCTGAACGGGAGGACCACCCAGCAGATTTCATTGTGCCGTAGTCCTTGGCCATTGGCTGATACAGCTGTGGGAAGGAGGAGACCAGAGTCACCAGCATCCCATTTTAATAGCAGAAGTACTCTGTTCCTTGAAAATTTCCAGCCCAGCAAACTCCTGGGCTGGGATTGTATAGCTAAGGCAGAATCTTCTTCTGCTCACCATTGCTACCTGGAGGAGAGATCCTCCTGCCCTCAGCAGTACCTGTGTAGCCTCCACCACATCATCCCCTGGAGATAGGGGCTGAACAGGTATAACTGAAGCCATCATTTAGCTGGCAGATCAGATATCATTGATCATGCCAGGAATCTCAGCTCCCAGCCTGAGGTTATGGGACTCTTCTTTTTTTCTTTTTCTTTTTAATGGCATCTTTTAATTCCTACCCTGAGCACATTTGATGGGGGCCCCTTGACTGACAAAGGGTGAAATCCTGGCTGTACTGAATGAAAGCCGGGCAACTGCTCATGCCAGGATTTCATCTGATAACCAGGGAACCCCATGGGCCTGTATTTAGCCGCTCTGTGCTACAAGGGCTCAGATATAATGTCCCCTGAGCACCTTGAGGCTGCTATGAGCCCAGTTTTCCTATTATGCCATGGAAGGGTCACTTGTTACTGGATCACTCCCCCTTCTCTGCTTCTCCTCCTTCCTCAGCTGGCACTAGGGGAAAACACTTCAGTCACTATGATAATACCAAATTCTGCAAGTGAGATGTGTTGTATACAGGGTAGATCAGACAGATGGGTGGGTTGGTCTGCCTACCCACACCCAGCAGGTGAGCTCATACGTACAGTGCCTTTGTGCTCTAAACCATTGGTCTGGGACCTGGAGCTGAAGGAGGACTTCAGGGTGTTGTTGTATTGGATTTGGGAGGAGCCACCACCTGCGGGACAAAGACAGACAGGCAGTGTTTAGCAGAACCAGGAGCGAGCTGTGTACTCAGAGCCTTGCAGACTCTGCTGAGTGTGACACCAGTTGGATGGGTGTGGGCACCCTGGCGCTTTGGCTCAGGGCAAGGGATGCAGTCTGGAGATGGGGACTGGCCCCCACTCTCAGCAGTGGGCTGGTACTCAGCCTTGGGTCTACACAGAGTTCCCACTGTGAGTTAGGTTGGCAGAGCGCCTGGGCTGGCTGGAGATCTGGGACCATCCCCAGGAGGTCAGTAGGCTCAGGCTGAGAGTCTGAACTGAGCAGAGGAAGGGGCAATCTCTGCACCAGCTCTGCTGTGCCTACAGGGCTGGTCTGGCCCCACAAGCAAAGCTGGGGTCTTGCAGTCCCGCCTGGGAGGCACTTGCCTTTTCTGACCAAACACACTCGGTCTTTCAGCACAGCCAAGCTTATCTGGCTCCTGTTCCCTCTCCCCCGCCCCTGCCGTTTTCTACACACTTTCCCTTTGTACACAACTCCCCTTTCAAGCCCTCTCCTAACAAAAGGGCTTTTAGAAGGTCTGGAGCTGGCAGGACGCCTGGCAAGCGGAAGGGAGGTGCCCCACCTGTGCCTGGGAATCAGTGCCATGGCAGAGCAGATGATGGATTATTTCGGGAATCACCAGTGCATCACGGGAGACCTGCACTAAGACTCTGCTGGGGTCATAGGTGGAATGGGTTTGAGCAGCTTCAGCCTCTTCAGAGGCCAACATTTCCAGTGGCAGACCATCGAGCAGGGAGCCGTGAAGCAACTGCTCCGGGTCTGCAGAATCTAAACTCCTGTGGGGCAGGAGCCGTGTCTCCTCTGGCTCACAGCAGCATATTACTATGGAGCTCGCTGATCCCTTTCCTGATCCACCTTGGTTTCAGTGAGACCTAAGATCAATCATCCTTGCCCTTTGGCTGCTGGGAAAATAACAGTGTAATCAGGATCATCTCTCGTCTCCTCTTGCTTGGCTGGGGGGTTCTGGGAGGTCTCAGACCAGCTCTTACAGCCCTTACCTGAAAGATCAGCCTTGCCAAAAGCAGCTTATCTATCAAGGGCTTGAGTTCAACAGTTTCAAGTGGCCTGAACAAAAATCCCTTCCCCTCTCATGCAAGCAGCAGCTTAGGTGTATGATGTCCTCCTCTTCCTAGCTGCCCAGCTGCCTGGGACGTCTGCCAGAGTAAATAAGACCTGAATTTCTGGGTGCCAAGCACTTCTTTTCTATTTTGGTACCAAAAAGGGTCCTGGGGTATGCTGAACATCTGCCCCATTCCCTTGACCTACCGTTTATGATTGCTTTCACCCGTGGAGCTAACTATAGAGGTGGAGCCACCAGTTTTATTGGTGTCTGTTTTGGAAACAATTCCAGTCAATGCAGCCAATCAGTTGGGTGTTACTTGCCCTACTGACCAGCCAATAGAGATTGGGCCTCTTGTTTTCTAGAAGTGGAAGGAGTACAGGCCACAGATCAAGGCCCGCCCCCCATGCCATTGCTAAAACACTGCCTCTGTGTAGTCTAATATCCTTTTGTGATATCCCCGTAGGAAGAATAACAATTATTTCCCTGCCAGGGACACTGGCACAGCTCATCTCTCCTCTTACTTATCTGGGACACTACCAAATCATGGCCATTACTGGGGGTTGTTTAATGGATTCATTCTGCTGTTCATTCATGCAGAGTTGGCCTAAATTGCAAGGAGCCCAATTTAAAAAGAAAAAGTGACTGAGTTCATTTCAAGGCAGCCAGAATCGAAAAGGCTACAGCCTGCCTGAGGCATTAGCAGTCACAGTTTACTGCCACTCACACAAATACATTCTTTGGCATACCGCCTTACATGTTGGTCCCATCTGTCTGGTCCCCACTGCAAACTCTTGACTTGAGACTGGACAGACCATTCCAGATTTATATACAATTACCACCTCTCCAAAGGCAAAACTCTGTGCTAGGACTGAGGGTACTGGAGAAGTCTGGTGGGGACCAGAATCCAGGACTGGGATGGCAAGATGACTGCAGGTTGATACTGGGGTGTACTGGTAGAGGGATGTGGGCATCACATACCTGCAGGGCTGCAAGGTAGGGGGTGCGCTGACAGGTTTGTGCAAGACTTTGCACAGCCCAGGCCTGCACTTGTTCTGGTCAGGAAGGGGAGGGGGAGACTGGCTCAAGTGCCACCTTGCCAACTTCTACAACTAAGCAAGTGCTGCCCAGGTCTCAAGGCTGCCTGGCCCAGCCCCATGTCCCAGAGACTACACCCCAGCCTGCAGGTATTCAGGCAGCTACTTTCATCCTAACAGCAAGGAGCCTGAGAGATGCCAGGCAGGCCTGGGATGTTATGTAAACACACTGCTCCGATACACTCCTGCAGACCAGCTGGGGAGTCAGTCTGTGCGGGGTTGGGGCCCTGTTGGGTGAGTTGGACACCAGTGTCCCAGAACTGGGGGGAGCCATCAGGAGGAGCTGGAAGCCAACACGCTCTGGTTCTTCATGGTTGCAGCAGGAACAAACAGAGCCATGGGAACCCCAGCACGTACAGAGAAGGTTAGAGCAGCTGACTCCACCACTGAGGAGCCTCTGTGGGGACCCCAATGCTCAGGGTAGGATGGTTCCTGTCTTTTCCCAGCCCTGCCCAGACAGCAGAGGGCAAGGCTGCAAAGAGATGCCCCACTTTGCCAGCCACCAACCCCAGTATGGGACAGGGAGCCCAGCAACTTCCCTGCCACTACCCTGCCAATCATTTCCAGATGTGGCACTCAGACCACACATGTGGGTTGTGTCTTCCCTTTTGTGGGAAGGGAGCCAAACCAATTGGCAGGACCATGCTGATGCACCAAATCCCTGGACAGACACTGAGGAAGGCCTTCCTGCTGCCTGGGAGTCCTCCCAGCAGCAGGTTTCAGACTGGCATCTGTGTTTTTGGACTGGGAATGGCTCTGGTGGGGATCACTGTGCTAGAACGTGCTCAAGTGCTGTCACAGATGGAGCTGGCACTCAGGTCTGGGAGGAGCTTTTAGTGGCAATGGTCCAAGGCCCAGCTGAGTGGGGACAAAAGGAGGCACTGTTCCCCCTTTGCCTCTACTGGCCAGGGGAAGTCCTTACAAGTTCATGTGCCACAAACCAGAGGGAATCCCAGTGCTGGCTATACCCAGCTGAGTCCCAGCTGGTGAGGAAGCCTGTGGCACCCCATGGGGACTTGGCTGGAGGCCTATTGCAAAAAAAGGCCAGTTGCAGCCTGTCCTACACACTATAGCAGCACCCTGCTGGTGCTGTTTGCAGGGCCATGCTGTGGCCCTGCTATGCTAACTGGCTGTTGCACAGTGCCTGTGGCAGGAGGGATAGGGCACAGGGTGGCGGTTAGTACCTGAGGGGGCAGGGACTCTGTGTGCTCATTGCCAACACAGGTGGAATGGCTGCTTATCGCTGGGTACACAGCGCAACCGATAGTGCCAGGAACACAGCCCCAGGGGTGGACCACAGACAGCCAGAGGCCAGGAGGTGCAGGCTTGCTTTCAGTCTCTCAGCTTCCCAGAGCCTGGGAGTGTAAGGGCTGCCACTGGAAAGGAGGAAGAAACCCAGAGGCTTCTCCCACCTGCCAGGCTCTTCTGTTATCTTGCCAATAGCTCACAATATTCAGCGGCAATGCAAAAAGCACTTCAAGGTCAAAGGTCCATGTAGCGCAGGTGTATGTGGCGTGCTACTGCCACATGCGCCATCAGAAAGCAGAACTCAGCCTACAGTGTGAGCATCCTTCCTTCTCTCACTGGGGAAGAGAGCAGAGTCCTCAACCCCAGCCCCACATCCCCCCTGAGTGAGCGTACAGCCATGATAGCCACCAGGGCTCAGGGTGCCCAGAGCTCTTGGGGAGGCCACCCATAGGCCAGGGGCACTGATAGTGTTGGGGAGACTGCTGGCCAAGTTCATGTAATGGCACTTCCAAGTATTCTGGGTGATTGCCCTGCACTTGCTATACATGACATTTTACCGCTGCCTTCACATCTCCCGTCCCTGAAGCCTGCGTGGGTCCCAGGCTTGGCATTCACACCAGGCAGGGAGATTCCTGTAGAATGAGAACATGCCAGCCCCAGAGGGAGGTCGCTTATGACACAGAGGAACAGAAAAGAGCAAGGAGCAGTTACCGACAAAGTGTGAGGAACAGGGTCCCTGGCTGGAATGGCAGAGAGTGTTACCCACCAAGACCGAGGTGCCCTAGCAGAGCTGTATGGAGACCCAGCCTGGGAGCAGTAGGGGATTGCACCCCAAGACTGAGGTACCCCAGAAGAGAGCACTAGGGCTGGAGCAACAGGCAGAGCACAGCACCAAAGGGCAGCCTCCAGCTCCCGCCAGGCCCGACAAGCCAATGAAGGCAGTATGAATCACCGATGCACTCCTTGCTGTCCCTCCTTGCTTCTGCTGGAGTGGGTCGGCCTGCCCACACCCTGTCTGGATGATGGCTGGCTGGGCTGATGCAGCACCTTGTCATTCTGACTGTCCCTAACACACTCTGTTTTATGAAGCATGTATAACCCTTGGCTTAACCCTTGAGTATGTGACAAAGTCCAGAGAACACAGCACATCCAGGGAGGGGAAGACGCCTGTCCTAGCACATCAGATAGGTCAGGCACCACTGCCCAGCCGCCTCTGGCACTCCTATGTCAGGGCCCGATCCCTCACAGGAGAAAACTGCAGATGGGAGGCTTCCCACTGACTTCAGTGGGCTTCAGATTGGGCACTTAAACATTAGGAAGCAGCTTGACTGACAGCTGCAAGACCAGGCCTGATGCAAACAGTATAAAATCCAAGGGAATCCTGCTGAGATGGGGGAGTGGGTCTAGGACTCAGAGTCACAGGAGCAGACATCAATGAACCCTCAGCATCAGGAGGGCTCCTGCTCTGCACTGCACATCTGACACGTCTCAGGCCTCATGTCACCTCATGTCACCCCCCACCAGGCTCTCCTGCCTACAGACCCGCTGGACTGGAACACACACAGGCTACCAGGGCCTTCCCAAACACTTCCCAAGGCCAAAGGCTCCCTCTCCCCCACCCCCAGCCCTGTGGTGGTGGGAAACAAATGGGGAAGTGGGAGGTAAGTCTTCAGGGTCTTCAGTGTTCCTCTGTCCCCTACTGAAGCCCAGCCTCATGCCAGAGCCCAGCTGGATTTCCTTCCCAGGAGAAAAGCTGTGACCGGGGGATGTCTCAGAGATGGGGTTGCATTGGCAGGGCTGACCATTATCTCAGGATAGGGGTGAGCCCTTGACAACAGCTCTGGCTGCAGGTTGCTGCAGTCCTGGCCCCACTGGGATGTTCAGCTTTCAAGAGCTCTGAGCCAATTTGCATCCAATTGCATGCAAAGCCCTGGGCCAGCCCAGCTGTGCCGTGGATCTCCCTACATGGTGATGGCAGGCAGCAGGCTCCTGCCTTGCACCTGTGGGGAGAAGCTGAGGAAAGAGGCCTGCACCCCTGCACCCTCACCCTGCACACATTCCAGGTATGCCCTTGGGGGTCTGGATCTCTTGCTCCCTGGCAAGCCATTTCCTCCTGGCCCAGCTCCTTCAGCCCCACCCCTGTGATGTACATTCCAGTCCCCAACCCAGGACTCTGCATCCACACAGCCATGGGAAGAAACACCTGGAGGGGCAGGTGGGTGCATGGGCTGAGGAGCTGGAACATGATTTCCCTATGCCTCTCTCAACCAAGCAGGAGACAATGTTCCATCCTGCAAGCAATGTCTTCTGGCACCTGATTGGAGCCAGAGGAGATGACAGGGGGTTGGTTTAGGTCAGGAGAGGTGGCAGACATGAGCTCAGGTTTGGCCAACACATGGTAGCCAAGCCGGGATTTATTCCCAGCTAGGACACAAGCTTTTCACCTCAGCTTAGCTGCCCATGTTGCAGTCTGGGCAGTGAAAAGCTGTCCCCTTGAATCCACGCTAGGAACAAGACGAGTTTAGTTTTTAGCTGTATCTTCCATATGTTAATGGAACCTAATCTAACCTCCACCACCTGTCCTCACGTAGACAAACGCCCAGTGCCCTGCCTCCATGGATGGCTGCTACCAAGTCTTAGACTGAAAACACAGGGCATTTGAAGTCATATGCCCTTCCGTCTCAGCCCTGAGCTTGAAGGATATGGGAGCAGGGGAAGAAGAGGTGTGGTAGCCTGCATACATTCCTGCCTGAGAGGCCTGTCAAGTCTCTGAGTGTGTTTGTGTGCACGTGTGTGTGCACGTGCGTGCATGAATATGCATGCATGTCTGGAATGTACTAGGTGACACAAGGTTTGACTTCCTCCTGTGGCAGCTACACATACTGGGACAAGCCAGTGGGCTTCTTCCCATGCTGGGGGTTCAATAGCCAGCCTGTTTGAGCCTGGGGTGTACCAGCTGCTCCATGGCTGTGTGCTGAGGCATGCTGATGTCCTGCATGGAGCTCATTGAAAAAAGCAGCTTCAGAGAAGCCTGCCAGGCCGCACCAGAGCAGCTCTTAGGGGCTTCGGGCTGCAGAAGAGCAGCTTCTTATATCCATAAGAAGAAAATACCAGGTCAGGGTGTGGGCACAGCCCTGCTAATTAGATTCTGAGTGAGAGATCAAAGAGATAAATCATGAAGAAAGTTCCACATGGGCACGGCAACTGCTCACCTGCTGGGGAGGAGACAGCGGGGGAGGACATATAGGGGCAATGAGACACGGTTGTTTTCGTCTGCATTTCATCCAAGAAGCTCAGAGCCCTTCACAGGCATCAATCCCATGCCCAGCACAGTGGGGTTCTAGTTTGGGATGGAGGCTTCTAGTCTTAGTGCAGATGATAATCACCCACCACACCAATCATCACTTACAATGTCTCTGCGAGTCAATTTGCACTGGGCAGGGAGGGAGACCGAGGAATGGAGCTAAACCCAAAGTAAGACACGCTGCTTTGCACAGGCTGTAGGATGTGAGCTGGGGTAGGTTGGGGTTAGGTTGCCAGTGGACTCCAATCTAACCTTGGCTGCCTGCCTTAAGCCATGCCCGAGTCCCGTAGTTTGCAAACACAGAAAATATCTGCAGAATCCAGAACCATTGGGCCTGATTCATCATTGCCCTGTGTGGAGGGGTCCAAAGTGTGCGTGCAGCAATGGAGTGGCATGCTGTACCTACAGTGCTTTTGTGGGAAGGATCGCTCAGGGGAGGAGGAATGAGCAATGGGGCCCGAGGCCTCCTGACTCATGGTCCTGGGCTCTAAGAACTAGAGAAGCTGGTCTTCTGAGGAGGAACTGGGCAGCAAAAGGGAGCAGGGCAGGAGGGCAGTTACTCTCTAGCCCCTCAGCCAAACACCAGTCTAGAGACTGCAGCTGACCAGTTCAGTAGCACCTAAATATTTTGTCAAGGCACATGAGCACTAAGCAGAAACCACTGAGTGGGATGCCTCATGTGCCATCTTCACTCAGTGTTTTTCAAGTGAATTGGGGGACCAGAGTGAACCGGGGACTGTGCCCCTGGCCTGGATCTCAGCTAGTGTTGGAGACACTTGCTGATGAACACAAGCAGGGGCCAGGGTTAGGGAGAGCAGGAGGGGAGGATCCCACGGGGCACTGATAAACCAAGTACACCGTGCCAGGTCTATGAGGGCCAGCTTGGAGCCTGGCATGGCAAGTCAACAGCCCTCCCACCCAAGTCTACCATGGGCCTGGTCTCTGGCAGTAGGCAAACTGCTCCTGGTTGATGCCTGCGGAACTATGGGGAGGTGGGGTTTCCTGACACAGCTACTTGACGTCAGACTAACACAGCTAACTACATCTCACAGCTACATCAGGCAGGGATTGGGGGCTCAGATTTGGGGTTTATCTTCTCCCCACCTCCATCTCCTAGTTTGGCACCAAATCCAGATGTTCCCTGAATAAACTGAAAGAAAACAGTGTAACTCCCACCTCCCTTCTCCCCTCCACCCGCCACACCACACCACCCCTGGACAGACCTGTGCTAGGCAGCTTTTGAAGAAACTGGGAGACATCTACTATTGGTCTTGAGGGTGAGAGGGGCTCATTTAGCAACGGGGGAAGAATTTTTCCCCTGGGGACAAAATCATGAGCTTTTGAATGCTGAAGAAGACAAATTCCACCACCCTGAAATTGCATGAATTCCAGCATCCTGGGATTCCCCTGGCCCCGGTGAAGAGCTGCCGGGGAGGTAGCTCTCTGTGTATACAGCCGCTTCCTACTCCACAGGTTGCCTCCCCCACTTTGTCTCATCCTCTGGCTATGTCAAGGAGGAAGGAGGTCTGTGCGCCCTCTGGGCCGGGTGGGGAGGACAGCAACAGCTCTAAGAGGCAACCAAGGCTGGTGCAAAACCAGAGACTGTGTCCAGAGGGAAGGCTCTAGGGAGAGGCAGGGACTGAGATAAAGTGCGGGCTGGACTCCCTGGGATAGGAGGGAGTGTCTAAAGGCAGAAGCAGCAACAACAGGTGAGAGCCCCTTGCTTTGTGTTACCTGAGCCCCACAGGGGAGGTGGGTTCCTGATGAGACGGGTACAAGCTCACCCCTGCTTCCTGCTTTCTTTGACACCAGGGTGCGGGCAGAAGTTCTGCTCCCCTGTCCCCCATCAGAGTCCCCCCCTGCCACCTGCCTAGGCTGGCGAGAGATGCTGCCCCTCGACACCCACAGCACGTTCAGCCATGCAGCAGGGCTTGGGAATAAATAACAGCCAACCCCTTGGACACTCCAGGTTACATATTTGGGGAGGGAGTGCCCCCATTAGCATGGGAATGATAGCAATGATTCCCCAGCCAGGAGCCACACCACACAAACTCTGACTGCCAGAGCCTCACATAACCCCTGTGAGCCGGGTGACTACACTCTGCCTCATTTCAGAGATGGGGAAACTGAGGCACAGAGAAGAGAAGTGATTTACCTGGGGTGGCCGGGCACAGCTCAGAGTCAAACCCCAGTGTCCCGACTCCCAGTCCTCACCCAGCCTCATCCCTACCAGAGGTGACGGGTGAGAGGGGCAGTGCCCTGGGTCAAAGCCAGCTGCCCACTGAGATGTCCCCCTCATGTAACTACTGTTTCTGTCCACAGCCGTGAGGTCCACACCCTTGCCCGCGCCCTCCTGCCTACCTTTGCCTTCAGTGCCATTGGCCCTGTTGGCTGCCTGGCTGTTCTGCAACATCCTCATGCGGACCTGCTCCTGCACCCGGGCACTCTTCAGCAGCGCCGCATCCTGTGTCACCTTGCTCTTTCTGTCCAGCTGCTGGTCCGAGGGCAGCGCCAGGGAGCACACGCCCGCCTCGGGCTGTAAAGCCGAAAAGAAGAAGTTATTCTCCTGCATGGTCCTGGGTGGGCAGGGAGCCCGGTTCGCTCTGTCCCTTAGAGCCGGGGGGAGAGAGAGGTCTGCTTGTCCCAGGCCACCAGTCCAGTTTTCCTTTCTCCCTTCCGTCTCTTCCAATCCTGGTGCCAAGCTAAGTCTCCCAGGGAGCAAAGCATGTCTGTCAGGAGTGCAGGTGGGGCCAGCTGCTGGATCCTCCCTCTGCACTCCTGGGGGAGTTGCTTAGTCCCAGCTGCTCTGGAGAAATAGCATGGGACACCCTCAGCCCATGCTACCCCTGTCCCTGTCCCTGTCCATGCCCTGCCTTCCTGGGGCAGGACTTTCCAGGGCTGCAGAGGGACAGGGTTACACCCTTCTTCATAGCAACTGACGTTGCAGCAGAAGCCGGTTTTAAGGCCGAGCAGGTCTGCCAGTTCCACCTTAAGCAGGTGAGGCCTTGGCGGGGCCCCGCTTCCTCTCTGTGTTAAGGTGGAAAGCTAAGGAGGCAAAGCCAGCCCCTGTCCTGCCACACCTTGTCAGTTGTGCAAACTAGCATGGGTGATTTATGGGCGTAGCTGGGCCTGGGAGCCTCAGGCACCAGACAGTCCCTCCCATGCAGTCTCCTCCGGGGGCAGTGGTGGGTTTGAGTAGCTGAGCAGCCCCTCTGCCCATGGCCTGAGGTGATGGCACCAGGGAAAGCTGAGTGGTGATATTGAGCCATTTCACTGTAATTTTTTTTTAAAGACATTTTTTGTGTGCCAAGCCAAATCAGCCAAATCAAGTCCAAATCCCTGAGTCAGTCCACAACCATAAGTGGCCCTACAACCGGCAAACATCCTCCACCCCCACCAGGGGCTTCAGATATTTCCAAAGTCTTTTGGCAGGCATCCTATGTGCAGCCCTAAACCCAGAGGCTTGAGGTTCAGAATCCCCCAAGCATGAACGACACATGTCCCTGGAGGCTGGGAGGGGGCATGGCGACCACCCGCAGGCAGTGGCAGTGAGCGGGGAGCTTCTGCAGGCAGCTGTGCCAGTGTCCGCGGCCGGGGAAGGTAGTGAGCACCAAACAGCAGTCGACAACCACCCGCAGATAGCAGTGATTGACAACAGCCAGCAGCGACTGGCGAGCGCCTGCAGGCACTGCCAGTAGCATTGGTGGCGCTCCTCTCAGGGGGGTGCACTGCCAATCTCAGGGGGTGCACGTGCACCCGCGTGCACCCCTTATGCATCACCAATGCCCCCAAGTTTCGCCTGCCCTCAGCCATATGGCCACAGGAGCAAGGTAGGGAGGAGCCTCCCATTTCCATAAAGTGGGCTTTAAGCCCCAATACCTCGGTGAGGACTAAACCACACCAGAAGAACAGTTATTCTCCGGGCGCTTAAGGAAAACTGCCTTCATGGACCCAGATCAATGGTGTTTCCCCTGTCCAGGGCAACAAAACCAGCAAGCCCCCTCCTAGCTGGTGAAGGGCCAGGGAATCGGGTTAATGCAGCTAGTTCTCAGGGGGCCGTGCAGTGGAGCAGAAACAAAGTCAAACTTTCCTTTCACTTGGCAGGATCTGACCCCACATGAAACCACAGGGCAAGGAATGGAGTGGGGTCAGAGCTGGACTTCTTTAGCATGCCCATGCTGGCAGCTGTAGGAGGGCAAACCCTATGTGCCACAGGCCAAATTCCCTTCCCACTTACTCCACTTGTATAATCAAGTACTAAATAAATGTGCAGTAACCAGAGTTACTGTGCAGAAGCACCGGCGAATGCCTTTTAAGTGATACTACTGTGCAGTAGCCAAATAATACTGCACAGTAGAGTATTAGCATTGTTTGTGCTGTGATGTGCTACTGTGCAGCATTATTAGGCTACTGCACTGCTAGCATCTCATATAGACGTGCCCAGCGAGTGCTGGTGATGGACATGTGCCACTGCTTGGGCTGCAGGGATTGGTAAGGTTCTTCCACGTGCCAAATTAACTCTATCTCATGCATACACACATGACAAGATAGGCCATGAAAGATCAGAAGCAGTCCCACTGCTCAAATCCCTGGCTGGTGGTCTCATAAAGCCATCCAGGAGCTGGGGAGGAAAGGAGCCCCCATTCAGTGCCCATCCCCTCACCTGCAGACTGCTAGGGCATGGTCAGCCTCAGACACCAGCACCTCCAATACCCAAGTGCACCCAAAAGCAGGTTTGACCACTCAGGCCCCAGCTCAGCCACCAGGAATGATTCCCCCGTGCTCTAACATGCCCAGCCAACACCAGGGGCAGGGTGTCTTGCCAGGCAGAAGGAACGTGCATCATCAAACCTAGGTGCACATGGTTTCCCAGCAAGGAACTGTGCTTCAGTCACTAGCCCAGGTGTCAGGAGTTTGGTGTGGAGCGGGGAGAGCCTGGGCAAGCTACCAAAGGAACTGATTTCCAAGTGCTTGGCACTTACAATCAGGGCTGTGTTTTTGTTTTTCTTTTTTTATGTAATATGTTTTGTGTTCCAGGTCAAATTAGCCACATCAGTTCCAAATCATATTCATAGATGTCATAGATTTAATAGACATTAGGGCTGGAAGGGACCTTGAAGATCATCAAGTCCAGCCCCCTGCCCCAGGGGCAGAAAGTCAAGTCCAGCCCCCTGCTCCAAGGGCAGGAAGTCAGCTAGGGTCAAAGGATCCCAGCAATATTGACTGAGCAGAACGCAATCGTTCCAAAACCATATCAACTGAGCAGGCAGAACACAATCATTCTAAACACCATGTATGGCACTACAACCAGCGAGCATCTTTCATCCCACTCTTCAGTCTGGGACCTCAAATACTCCCTACACTCAATCTCAGCCAACATGCTGATGGAAACCTACAACGAGGACAGGTTAATGCCGCCCATCTGAGCCAGGGCCCAGCTAAAACCCAGTGAGAACCATCTTTTCCGCCTAGCCACTCTGGGTCTGTCTTGCCTGTTTCGACAGTCACCTCTGCGGGACACAGGCTGTCTCTAACAAAGTGCAGATGCAGGGCACTGCTGTGATACAGGGAACAGCACATCACATCCATTCCAGCCAGAGAGCCAGATCAGTTGCTTTGCTCCCCTCAGCATCACTTCCAGAGAGCCCTTGTCCCTTGAAAGGCCTCCACTACAGAAGTGGAGCTTGCAATGCTCCACATGCTGCAGGATGAGAGATACTACAGATATGCAGAAAAGTTACAATGACAAGTATTAACAGCCAGGCCTACCCCTACTTCCCTTTTCAAACGTGATGAGAAAAGACCTATTTAGCCCAGGATAGCTCCACTGCTCTGCCCACCCAACTAGTAAAACCTGGGTGACTAATCTGCTATTAATGGTCCCCAGACACTAATTAAGGATGCCTGCACCTCCCTTGGAAGGCAAGGATGGGCTACCCGGGACTTATGAAGCAGGAAACTGAAGCACAAAGAGGTGACTTATCCAGCCAGTGAGTCAGGTGCTGAGCTGGGAGCTCCCAGGCCTCATACTCCCACCATGCCTCCCCTGCAGATCTACCCCCTCACACCAGTGGCAACTCTCAGGGCATTTGGAAGAAAGGCTCACAATGAAGCAACGTGTTCCTAACCTGTGCCAATTACCATTCTATTTTGCCTTAGCAGGTGCAGCTTAGGACTAACTTTGGATCTTTTAGTGTTTTTTCCTTTCATTTTTCAATTCTGCATACACATTATCACGCAGCATTGATTTTAAAATGTTGTGTATATCTTACAGTGCACAGTGGCCAGCAGCTAAGAGGCTATATTAATAAACCTTTCCTCTTGATCAATGGTTTGTATTTAAAGCCCCATCTTCTGGAGTCATGGGGCTATGTGAGAATCTTAGCTTTGATCTTTTGGGGGGGTTTTTTAATGTAAATTCTTCTTGCAACTGTGGAGAAAAGCGTGACAAATATGGTCCCTGCTGGCTCAAAAAACCAAAAGACAAATTACAAGAAGCCCATAAGAAGCCCATGTTTATTCTGATTGAAATTTCATGCTTTTTAAGCCAAGTCTTGGGATTTTTAAATGCTCTGGGTCAATCAGATTGATCACACATTTGTAAGGGCATTATCTGGATTTGCTGTCATGTGAATTTTAAAAGTGACCTCAAAAAAAAAATGCGAGTTTGGGGACAGAGCTTTTTATGCTTATGTATGAGGTCTGAAGAAGGTCAGAAAGGTTGGCCTGTGGCTGATCATTTATTAATTTAAGAAATTTGTATCCATCAGCAAGCATGCTTTCTCCAGGAAGTCTTGCTGGCTTATCCGAGAACAAGTAAGCTGATGGAGCGACAAAAACCAAACAAGTAAAACCTAGTTAGCATGAGTGTTCCAGGGTTTGACATGGATTGACACATGGGCCCCAGACTCCTCTGACAACAGTTTCACAGAATGGAAATTCAGATCCATGCTGGGGACCTCTCAGTGCTCGACTCCAGGGGTCTGGTTGCTATTTGCAAACTCCAAATCCAGGGGTTGAATTCCCCACCCCTGAAAAGTTCACAGGAGCTTGCCTATGCGACACTGACCCTTGCGCTTCTCCACAGGGAGCCTTTGCAACCCAATCCAATGAGGGAACCACATCCTGAACCATCCTTGCTCTTGCCCAGGGGTTCCACTCCGACAGTCCCTCAAAGCTCTTCATAGATTCATAAATTCATAGATGTTAGGGTCGGAAGGGACCTCAATAGATCATCGAGTCCGACCCCCTGCATAAGCAGGAAAGATTGCTGGGTCTAGATAACCCCAGCTAGATACTCATCTAACCTCCTCTTGAAGACTCCCAGGGTAGGGGAGAGCACCACCTCCCTTTGGGAGCCCGTTCCAGACCTTGGCCACTCGAACTGTGAAGAAGTTCTTCCTAATGTCTAGTCTAAATCTGCTCTCTGCTAGCTTGTGGCCATTATTTCTTGTAACCCCCGGGGGTGCCTTGGTGAATAAATACTCACCAATTCCCTTCTGTGCCCCCGTGATGAACTTATAGGCAGCCACAAGG